ATTATTTGTATGAAATAATAACCTTATTTCCATTTATACACACATATGCACACATATATGGGTTCCCTACCTATATGCATGCAGTGGAAAACATGCTCTGGAAATAAAACATAACATACAAAATAAATAAACCAATATAATATGCAAACTAACATTTAATATTAGCATTAACTTCTTCATATTAATGTTCTGTGCAAAAACTTTTGATACCTTGATTTCAAAATTGTGGCTCCGAAATGCCATTTCAGGCATCAGCTCATACACAACTGGATTATGTTCTATGCCTTCCATGCACATCCCAACTCCAACCTGTCCATGAAGTTGTTAAGTGAACTTCATAATTAAAGGAATGTTCAGTATATTTTGTGATAGTATAACAAAACAAAACCCCAAACTGCCCATTTTATTCCACTGTGAAGTAAAAGGGGAGGGGGTGATGGATGTAGACAATAGTTCTACCCTTAGGAATAGAGTTGAACGTGAGAGGACCTCCGACAACTAGTGCAAAGTAGTATGAGGAGAGTAAAATGCACAACAAACTGCAATAAAAAAACATATCTGAAGAAAACAGTTATGAAGAAAAATGAAGTGTACGAACAAAGTTAATGTCTGCCCAGCAACACCAAGCAATGGAATAAGAGGGCCCGACCCCAAAAAGTACCCGCTTACAACCCCAATAACGAATCTACAACCCTAATATGGCATCTCCATGAACTTCTATAAAAGGATCCTAAGAGAGGGAGGTAGGAGTTTACAGCCACCGTATTCGGTGTCAATTTCTCATCACTGTATTTGGTCAGGATGTTAATGTAACCCTGCAGGGGACATGGCCAAGCCAGTTTGTCCACTCTATTTATGATTTTGAGTTGTGCCTAGAAAACCACATTTGGTATTCTGCCCGTCACTCCATCATTGTACAAACACGTGCCCAACACATGCTCACGTGCTTTTTTTTATTGCTGAACACTCAGGCTCATACTGTAATACACCATAGCTACTTGAATGACAACCCTCTAGAATTTTCCATTCCACTTCAACATAGCCATCTTGTTGCATAGGATCCTTACAGCATTACTCACTTTAACCACCCTACCTTAATGTTATACTCGATCTCTCACTCATTGTAGACGATTAAAACTAAGTACTAGAAAATGTGTCTTTGGGATATTTTATGTTCCCTTAATGCTGACTTCTACCCCTTCTCCTTCACTCTTCCCATAAAAGTTGTCATAGAGTGGCTATTACTAAACCCTGCTAATCCTCAATGTACCTTCCAATACCTATGTTTCGACGCCTCTTCTGCATTGTTCTTGCTAGTGTGTAAATATGAATCTCCTCTTCTTTGGTCTCCCAATGCCATAAATCTCTTCAAATGTCTTCTCCTTTAACTCCTTTCTGTACTGTTTGCCATCCATGTAAGTTCCCTCCGTCCTACTCATCTCCTCCTTGCATCATGGGGAGTCTTAAAACACATCTGTTTAAAATTGAGACATTAAATTTAAATTGTACATCTCATTTCACCACCAAGACTCGTTGTGGTCTTTGGACCTCCCATATGCCACCACCATCTACTGATAAAAGATATCTACAGTTGGACAATAGAACCGATATCCCTTTTAGACACGAGAATAATCTAGAAAGGTATGGAGTATGTTTCAATAATTGAGGATCTAATTTGGTGATCAGAGAACAGACATCCGTAACAAAACACGATCAACCAAATAGTTTTTGTTCAATGGGAAACAAAGACATCTACAAGTGAGACTATGATACACACTTTTACCATTCAAAACATAGGAGGACATATGATTAATAAGAAACCTAGTTGTGGTCTTGGGGATGCATTGGCCCTGAATTCTTAGGGCACATTCATTGGGATCAAAACATCCTTGGCTTATTCCAGAAAGTACCTTTTTTTGCTCAACAGCCTCATTTATGATGGTGTATCTAAACATGAGATTTGGTGGAGTATACCATTTTGACTCATGTAAGCTTAAATGGGTCCTAAAAATACCCTTGAGCATTATCACCATGAAGGATCCAAACAGGAACACCAAATTGAGTTTTAATCTCAACAAAGAAAGAACAAGAGTGAGTGAATAACTGTTTCCAAAAAAAGTGAGTGAATAACTTTGAACGATTTTTCATGAGAAATAACCATGTCATACTAGAATAACCATCAACAAACATAACAAAGTACCAAAGCCCAAGTTTAGATACTAGTGAAGACTGAAGAGTGTCCACAAACATGTGAATGAACAAAATCAAAGGGAGTAGTGCACACTTATTGGTTTGAGGACTCAAACTCAAGCGAGGGTGTTCAGAAAATTGGTAAGACTCACAACTATGGAAGACACACTAAAACTGGTGACAAAGTTCAACAAAAGGAGAGATGGATGCCATGTGCAACAATGAGCTTCAAATAGGGTTAGATTACTACATCGCAAAAGCAACAATTTCAGGTCTCTTGCTGTAAGGAATCTAAAGACCCTGAAACTCATACCCCTTACCAATGATCTTCTTTGTTAACAAATCTTGACGAAACAATAAACAAGGAACAATACAACAACAACAACATTACCCCAGTGCCCCAAAGGCTCCCGCCCATTACAGGGTAAGTGGGGTCAGATGTATGTAGTCTGACCCCTATGTTTAAAACATAGAGCGGTTGTTTCCAAATGACCCGTGAGGAGCGTCGAAAGTTGCATAAGCTACTTCATTGCTGAAAGAAGCACATACAGTTTAAAGAGCCATTTTGCTTTATTCCACCCTAGCCTAAAGGCAAAAATAATAAATCTTTGGCCCCGTTGGAGATAATGGAAACATAAACAAGGAACAATGTGACAAAAAATAAAGGGCATGAGATAGTTTGCTAACAAAGCCCAATTTAAATGACAATGGCGGATGAAAACACGTGATTCAAGCTTTAAATATTTTGCAAAGGAACCAACTCAACCACAAGCTCAAGCTTGTGATTGTGGTCTGGGAAAGGTTTTCTATACTCTAACACGCCCCCTCACGTGCAGGCGCGGCCGCTTCGAGTCTTGCATGTGAAACCTTAATTTTTATAACACTAGGTAGTTTTAAGGTTTGAACTCGTGATCGCTTGGTCAACAAGGCTCCAATACCATGTCAAGGGAAAAGTGATTTATACGTACTAACCAAATTTGCAAATGAGAGAATAAATTGATATCGCTTTTTAGAAAAAGGAAACTGCATATACGCAAACAAAGTATCTAAATACGAAAATTGAATCACTAATTTTTTTCGTAATTAAATTCCTATTGTATGCACAATATACACGTTCTTTAACAAAGAATAATTGACAATTTAGATTAAGTTGAAGAAAGGGACAAGTATTGAGGTGTGCATAAGGGACTTCTCTCACCATTGTCGAATTTGCACTAATACGTGCATCAATAGGCATAAGGGACTTCTCTCACCATTGTCGAATTTGCACTAATACGTGAATCACTAATTTTTTTCGTAATTAAATTCCTATTGTATGCACAATATACACGTTCTTTAACAAAGAATAATTGACAATTTAGATTAAGTTGAAGAAAGGGACAAGTATTGAGGTGTGCATAAGGGACTTCTCTCACCATTGTCGAATTTGCACTAATACGTGCATCAATAGGCCCTGAGGCAACAGAATCCAGTGTTCCGTACATTTCAATATTGCCTCCAAAATTGTGCAGCATACACCTATTTTATGTGGGAGATAGGAAAAAAAACAAGATATAACTAAAATTCAGGCTACTAGAGGGCTGCAAAACACAGAATAAAGGTGAGACAAAGCATGTGAGCTAGATTTGCATACCATATATAAGGTGTTCCATAAAATTGGGATGAAGTTTTCCATATTGGGTGGACATCAGCAAATAAATCAAGAACTATCATCTTCCCAAATGGAACAGAATGTAGAAGTGCCTGCCAGAGCTCGATAATGATGTTTATTAGTTCTCTTAATTATATATCTTTTAACAGGAAGCATGTTTGTGGTGTAAAGATATTGTACAAGATACAGATCACCATTTAGATTGTTAATCTCCAGGGTGATTTTTGCACCGGTTTTCTACCATTGGTTTTACATTTAAAAATCACTATAGAAGTGCATTGGCTACAAGGGAGCGACGGCTCAGGATTTACAATCCGTATTACGGACCCCTCAATTGCTATAAAAGCCCACTTGAAAGTGGGTTATCAAAATCATGCATTTACATTTTATACACAATAAAGAAATTTGTCAATCAAATAAATCATGGTTGTTATTGTATTCGTTCAACCTATAACTAAATTATCAAGTACTCCATAATAAGCATTAAATTGGAAAACAAGAGAAATTGAGACTAAACTGATGCATAAGTGAGGAAAAAACGGGTAGTATTGTGTAAGCACTTTTCACTTGAGTAGTTAAGTACATGATAAGTTATTGCAATTACTAAGTCATCAATGACAAGAAATAATAGAAGGTTCTTAATCACATAATAGCATATAGCATACCTCCATCTGTGATGGCTTCCAAAACGAAGAGTCTGAATAAAAAAGCCAACCCTACAGATACATATATTATTTAGAACAAACATTATTCATAAAGGAAAAGCAGATTGGACCAGGTTGCTGGAAGTTCTTCCTAAGCTTTTTGCAGCAACCGAGAAGAATAAAGGAAGTTAAAAGAAATCACAAGTACCCCAAATATGAAATGCAGTAATATCCTTGCAATAAAAACTGTCCCAAATCTACAAGGATTATATTATTGCTAGTCATGATTATTCCATGAGGTTACATGGAATCGTGTTGATAGTTTTGTGGTGTTAAAGTATATTGATGAAAACATGAAATAGTAGAGATGAATGGTGACCTGAAACAAGGAATTGACTAGAGTACTAGACTATTAGAGATAACATACTTGCATTAACCACACAGCATCCTTATCTGCTTTGAACATTGCTTCGTAGACAGCTGAACCAAGCGAAGAGATATATGTGGGGTCCTTTGTAGGTGGAGAGTTTTCATTAAACATATCACTGCATTAAATGCATACCGAGTCTCAAAAACACAAAGCACGGGATGAAATATTTTGCTCTAAGCTAAAGAATAGCAACTAAGACACTCCCACCCATCAAAGAAGCCAAACAACTAGGATAACCTAGAACATTATGAGCATCTTCTATTCCACATTATAAAGCTGAGGTCACTTGAATCCCCAATTTATTCAAAGAGACTTTTATTTCCAAATCCTCAACTCCTCGAGCTACATGCAGAGCTGGCCCTTATGGTGTGCCCTCGGGGCAACCACATAGGACCCTGATAAAGAATAGTCAAATCAGACAAGCATATGAACCCACCATATATGTGCCAGTCCTTAAAGTGTAATACTTGGTTATCTTTGCCTCATAATATAACTTGATGGTTTTCAAAGAAAAATGTAATCTCAAACCTATATCTTTACTTTATCTTTAACCAAACACCTCATTCACTTTCCGTTTTGGGTTGTCTCAAAATATAAGTTTACATTTCCTTACTTTCTTATCACAGAAAGGAATATGCCTCACAACATCTCTCTCTTGTGAACAAATCGCAGCGACACATGTTGTACATTTTAACACTTATCTTAAACTCCGTAATGTCAAATTATAAACTTTATTTAGGACGAAGCGAGTACATATTATAGGTTTCCAAAAAATAGAATTAATAGCTTATGCCAAAATACAAAAATATGCAGTAAACAAAATATTATTTATGCATAACAACCATGTTTCTCAATGGCATACGACTCTTAGAACATGTTTTTAGTACAACTTGATTTTATTAAATCTGATAGAGAATGGATAATTGCATTAATTCAAGAATCTGTATAGTTGCTCCTAGTTAATTTTTCTGGAACAAGATTGTGGAGATTTCTCAAAACTAGCTTCACACCAGAAGGGAGATGGGATAAATGATCTGAGCTATCTCCCATATTGAGGGATTAAGAATCAGATGGTGATAAGGGTGATTGGCAGTTTCTGCCAAGCTTTTGGCAAGGGCATGGAGAAACTAAAAGGTGAAATAATTTCAGATAATTAAATAGCGGGTTTTAGCAGTTGCTGCCAAGAGGGCAGCAGTGGTGTGAAGGAAACTGAAGAGGAAAAGAGGAAAAAGGGTTTTGAGAACTCTAGGCTCTTGATACCAGGATAGAGAATGGATAATTGTATTGATCCAAGAACAATGAAGAGTACACTAGAGTATATATATATAGGAGGTCATCCTAATAGATAAAAGAAACTACGAAGCAATAAAGGCTCATTAATATATAAACTACCATAGTTAATAATTTAAGTTTATGAGTATTAATTATTACTATATGTGATTAAAATCACATAATGTTGCTATTCTTAAAATTTGCAGTTTCAAATATATAAAACGCCAAAAGTATACTTCTTCACATGACTTTATTTATTTAAGACCGGCACTGACTACATGGGAGTTCATAAAGAAGAGAACTGTGCAATTTGATAGGATGGATAAATATAAATCGGGCAAAACAATTGAAGATCTGAATGAAGAAAGTGAAAGATAGTGACCAACTTAGAAATAATTGAATGAGACCCAATAATAAATTAAAGTAATGATAAAAATATACCAACTGTAGATATTTGTGATGCCTCCATACTCTGCCAAACAAAAAATGCTAATAAGAAATGAATAATGAAGTGCGGGTAATGTGTCTCAAATAATAAGCTGTACCACACTGTCAGTACCCTTAGAAAATGAGAGCTATAAGATCAAGTTATATGATTTCAATGTTTTCCAGATCAGATGACAGTTTTCAAAAAGGAAATCGAAAGATTCATAAAAAGAACAGATAAACTCACATTAAACCATGCAAATATGTGTTTTCAGATATGAAATTAAATCACAGCACAGGGCTCATAATTTAAGTTCTTTTTTTTCTTAAATGCATTACAATTTAATATAACATCAGCAATCAATTAGTGAGAAGTGACAAGTAAATCACCTTTAAACTGATGGTGAATGAATGCCTCACCAATGTTAATAAATAACGGGTCAGAAGGATCTAAAAGGTACGTACAGCACCATCGAGGGTCACCGTCCACTGTATTCCTAAGATCAAAGGAAAGTCAAGCATTCACAAATGTGCACACACACATACAATCTAACATATATTTCCCTAGTAATCTCGTGTAAGATGGTATTGCCATAAAAATAAAGGAAATGCAAAAGGAGATCGAAATAAGAGATGACAAGTAGTTAGACAATAAATACCAGTCCCCAAGTCGAGTAATATTTGCGGAGGGAAACATCCTTTTTAATGCAGCTGGTACATTCCCAGAGAATGACGGAAGCACTGGTGGGAAGAATAAAAAAGGATGAAAGAGATAAAGTTACTATTGCTGGTCACTGCTCATAAACAAAATCAACTTAATTAATGCTTCGCATTAACTTGTTTTAGATTGATCATACTAGTAGGTAGTAGCTAGCCCGAAAGTACAAAACTTATTGTTTTTATGTATATTAGAACAGGTTTTGTTAAATTGTGTGAAATTTAAAATAAAACAGAGTGCTTTATGTCAAATGAAACATACCTGGGGTCATACCCAACTCAGTCATCCTCTTTAAGATCAGCTTTTGCAATGACAACTGATTATCCAACCAGTTTTGTGATAAAGGCCCACCCCATCTATTTTCAAGAGAGTGGTGAAATTTAAAATATCATGGTAAATATTAATGTATGCATATTTAGCAAATTAAACTACCCATGTAGATTTCCCATACGAGCCCATGCAAGGAAGGCAGGTCCACCAAAGAAACCATTCAAATCTTGTCTGGTCATATTAAATTGTTGCTGTAAAAAAATGAAAGTCAAGACTCAGGGGGGGATGTAGAAAATGAAAGCTACTAATTTACTATTGCATATATTTATATTTTGTACATTTTTCCTTTTTTTTTAGCTTTATACCATAAAGTAGTTACATAGAAAAAGTTGCAAGTAGAAGAAATAGTAGATGTTCCTTATTTTTCAATTGAGTAAATTTTCTAATTGGTCCTTTATAACAGGGAGGTTTTCTATATTTAGTCCTTTATTATCACATATTACGTGCGTTGTCCTTTTTTGATGGGTACCATTCCATGGATAGTCTTTTTTTGACATTTTGTCATATTGGTTCTAAATTGAAGGCTAAAAGTGTAATTTTAGAATGATCAGCCAATGCAGAGGTCGTTGTTGATGAGTTGTTTGTCAACTGGAGTCGCTACGTCATCTCAAGTCAGAATCCTAATCCACATCCATAGTCATTATTGTTGTGTAATCCGTCAAACCGACATTTGAATACGTCACTGGACATTTGGTTGATGTGAAATTATACTTTAGCCTTCAATTTAACACCAACATGACAGAAGATAAAAAAGGACTATCCGTGGAAAGGTACGAGGACGGAAAGACCACAAACATAATATTTGATAATAGAGAAGTAAATATGGAAAACTCTTACTACAAAGGACAACTATAGAATTTACTCTTTTGTATTTGTAGGTAGTTTGTTACATTTATATGGGATATTCCATGTTCATAAAATATTGTATCCCCTGTCGGTGGTGTGTGTGAATAACAAATGATAGGGACTAGGGTGAGTATATATTTTCTCACATAACTAACAAAAATGGTGATTTTACTTGAAACCCAAAAGGAATCTTATACCTATACGGCTATACCACATGACTACAAGATATATACTTGGTAAGAAAGAATATACGAGTAGCAAGTTTGCAGCTTTGGGGAAATGAAAGAATGTTTGCTTTATGCATGCATTAAGGAGAACTGATGTGAGAACTGAGAACCCCTTAAATGTAACTACTCTTGTATTAAGGAAAACTGATAAGAGAAACCTTTGGTAGCTCATGCTAGAGGTGGCAATCGGATTGGTTCTGGTTTGAAAATAATTCGGTTCGGTTATATGTTATAATCGGTTCGGTTTGGATTTAATTCGGTTCCATACATTTTATGGTTCTGGTTCAGTTCTGGGTCGGTTCAGATCTGGTTCGGATCAATTTTCGGTTTTGAATATATTTCGGTTCAGATATATTTCAATTCGGGTATATTTTGGTTTCGGATATATTTGCATATATGTTATTTTTGAATTAAAATTTATTTATCCGATTATTTCTTTGTCATATCGTATTTATCAATCTATTATCAATTTATCACCTCATATTATTTTATTTTTTTTAATTACCCTCCCTTTGCCCTAAATATCTTCCATTTTATCTTTTTAGTCATATTTTATAAATTTTGATTACGAATTATGAAAGAAAAGTATATTTAGTTTTGATATAAAACTAATATTATTGGATTACCAAATTACATATAATTTGGTTAAAATATGTTGAAATTGAGTGAAATTGAATGCAATTAGATAAAATTTGAGTGAAATTAAATACAATTCAAAGCACGTGTTTGGCTGACCATACAATATTGCATGAGAGGAGGGTGAAAAAATATTTTTTTAACCGGCTCTAGTTTGTATAAATTTTAACTAAAATTTTTTATGTAAGTTGTATTATTCATTTTTTTACTTATTTATAAATAAAATAAATTTAAAACATATAAAATTTTACATTTTATTTAGATATGGCAATTCATTTTGGGAGATACGGAGTAAGTATAATAAGGGTGTGTGTGTGTGTATAATTAGTTCAAATGGTAAAATAAAAGTAAAAATTTGAAATCACATGAATGTAATTGTTCACTAATGTACATAAATATAATATTTGTCAGGCACAATCAATTTTGGATATAATCGGTTTGAGATCTTATCAGTTTCGAGTCTTATCAGTTTCGGATTTAATTGGTTTCAAATCTAATTGGTTTTGGATTTAAATCGGGAATGGATATATTTAGTTTGGTTTTGGTTTGGATCATTTCGATTTTTCAGTTATAAATCAGATCTTCACTTTTCGGATCATTCGGTTTGGGTAATCGGTTCCGGTTTTGTTTTGCTAGGTCGAGCTCATGCTAAAGAGTTGCTGGTGATGAAAAGTCAAAAAGCCTTTAAAACACAATTAGCTACTTAAACAAAGAAGTGATATTATGCATACCAAGAAAACCTTTTGCCAGATGGCTTCTTGCCCAGTAAATGCAAGAGGCATGTTAATTCCTTGGAGTGCCATCCAGTCGATTTCTTTCTCCCAACGCTGCCAATCCCACCATACATACGAATCTGCAATGTAATTTTTGAGTTGTGCTAAGCATTGCTACCAAGAGAGTAATATAGCAAAAGAAACAAATGTGGCAAAAAAAGGTTGTTTCAGGCATGGAATATATAACAAAAACACATTATTTGTTGTGTGGATTTACAGATGTAGTCCAATGCCGGGCTTTTTCCCCCTTGGTTTAGAACTTCCCAAAATGATTTCATTCTTCTCACAGTAAAACTTTATTTTCAAAAACATGTAAGTCAATGTTGAGCCAAATGCACAAGGCCCTCTCTAATAAACCAAACAAAATATACCCAACAATGGCCAGCATGTCCCACTCGGAAGTAGAATATAAACACACGGCCTCACCTGCGATGTGTGATCTTTTTGCAGTTACGTTGTCACGTGCTCTTAAACATTCAATCGACAAGTAAAAATGTTAAAACTTACAGCTTGAGGTGACAACATTTTGGTAGTAATGCCATGGTATTGGCCGTTGAATCAACACACCCTCTGTATCTACAGAAGGTAGTAATCCTGGATTGGGTACTGAGTCTATCTGTATGCCTCCAGTTTTTTCCCATGAAATATGAGCACCACACCAATACTTTAGGTACCAATGGAGTCCTGATGTGATTTCGATTGCTGTAGTTCCTTGTATCCTTGGAAACAAAGCCAGAAAACAAAACCAAGAAAAAGGTTCAGAAGTCAATGTTTCTGCATGTTTAAGAAAGTTTGCATGAGCAACTACTCCCGCCGTCCCAGTGTATTTGTCCAATTTCACTTTTTTGAGTCAATTTGGATGAACTTTGGACCTCAATTAGTTAAAATTTGTAATGTATATTAGTATAAAATGATTTTATTGGATTTATCTTGGTGAGAACTTTCAAAATTTGATTTCATTGTATTAATATGCAATACAAACTGAGAGTAATACTATGTGCAATAAGAACATGAGAAAGTGATTGCTAATAACCACCCAAATGCATGCCTAGCTGGAGAGTCACAAAGAAAAAGGGAACGGTGTACTGAAGAATATAAGATGTCATTGTGTTTTAAAACCTTAAACTCTGAACTAAATTTTGAAGTTCACATTATAATATATGATGCAGACTCAAACCGCAAGTATCAAGGTTATGTGGATAATAGTGCATAAAATAACAGAATTCAAATGTTACAAAATGCAATATGTTTATACAAAAGGTTTGAGGATAACACTAGAACTCACAATTGGGTACAGTCCCTCTTCACGCCTGACGTATAATTCTATCTTTAAATATGACAGGGTGTTGAAAGCGATTGGCAATGAATGTATTATTGTAATCTAACATAATGAATCTACAAATAAATATTTACGGTATGAAGCAGCCATAGGTCTTAGTTAGTCTTCTTTACGTGGACTTTTTTGCTAGTTTTTTGGGAATACTCTAACACAACCACACTATGTACAAATTACAACTATTATCTGGCATTTTCCCTTAAGTTGGAGCATATATATTTATCATGCACAACTTGTTACAATGATACTAAACCTGAGTCTCACTTAGTGTTTTTTAGTAAACAAATCACATAATTGGTCATCTTAAGTTCTAAGTTCACAACTTCACATATCTATAGAATCATGTCTTTCTATATCTTTTACCCAGAGTATAAAAAAATCACAATTAACTCCTTCTCACATGCAGATTGTGTTATTCCATGTTACTTCAATACCAAGAAAATATTTCAATAAGCCAAGATCCAGCTGTATCACTGCATTTTGTTACAATACATACATGCATGCATGCATACAACACATACACATGCACGCCCACACATACATAAATACATACATACATACACACGCATACACACACACACACATATATATATATATATGGTGTATGAAGCACCTTAAGATATTAGAATGTTGCTTCCTAAGTCTTCCATTTTCTTGGCGACTTGTTTACCACACACTTAGCAATAATTAGCTAATACCAAGTAATTATTAGAATATTGAGGACATCACACACCAAATGAGCCTGCTTTAGATGCCTAGAGTACTTATAAGACAAATAAAAGGAAGAAACTGCATACAATATCTTAGGCGAATCTCCACTTAAGCTCTTGTAATTGGTTATTCTAAAGCAGCTTTTCCCACCACAAGCATCCTACAATTTCCCATCAGCTTTCAAGCATATAGCTATAAGAATAATATCAATCCTACGCAACCAAATAACAATTACAACTTAACAATTACAACTTAACAATGACAACGAACTAGAAATATTATGATACAAAATTTGAGAAGTGTAGTTGAACAGTTGAATTGGATGGTAGTGTTGCATAATGGAGGGTAGTTAACAATAATTGTATCTTCTTCAAAGAAAACTAGTAAAATATTCCTCGATGGGAATGATTGCAGACCAACAACAACAACAACAACAACCCAGTTATTCCTCGATGGGAATGATTGCAGACCAACGTCCTCGTTATAGGGATCGTCCCGTAATGGAACGATCCTTGTGGATTCGGCCTTGCCGCATTCGCCGTCAAGTTCCACCTACGTACCCAAATCCAATTAAATGTTAAATAGTGTTATTTTTCAAACTTATTAAAATTATGTGATCTTAGAAACGAAAGTAACACTGCACCTTTTCTGTCTGACACCTAAGTCCAATGTGAAAATAATTGTGTCATATCTTCATTCTCAATATTTTATTTTGTTGGACAAAAACATATATACATTCAAGTGTTACCTTATACTTTTGGCTTGATTCATTGACCAGGGATATTGACCATTTGGTGGATTAGGCAATGGCCCGGAGACTTTCATCGTGGAACCATTATAGTGAAGTGTTGCAGTTGCATTCAGAACGGGACTTTCAAAACGGCTTGAAGCGACCACGTAGTAGTCCTTAACGTTCGTGGCGTTTAGAGTTACCAAAAATGCCACAGATTGGCCAACGTGGATGTCAAATGAGTCATACACGTCTTGTACCGTGTGTGCACCTTCAACTTCCACTAGTTGCAAATTATGGTCTTGGATTCTAAAGTTGATTGACGTTGTCATGCCAATGTTTGAAACCCTAAACATGTATGTTTTTCCTGCAAGTGAATAGAAAGAACTATATGTAAAAGATGATCTAAAAACATCTCAGATGGCTTTACACGATGTTTGGTTCAATAAATTATGAAGAAAAAGAAAAGAAAAGGCCAAAAAGGTTTCTTTCCTCGCCAAAATGAATGAACACACTTTCTCTATTTGTAGTTTATTTTATACTTTCATTTTCTTCGTTTTTTCATGCTTTTTTTCTTTTCCTCTATATCCAAGCAAGATTTGTTTTCCTATTATTTTTTATTCTTTTTTCCTTTCAACTTCATTGAACCAAACACGTGGTGTGAGACTATTTGTGAACAAAGAAATTAAAGACCTTTATTGGCGGTGAAGGCGACTGGATTGTTAGGAAGTCCATTGATGAGAAGGCCATTGGGGGGTGGGAAAGGCTTCCCAGTGTCAAGTAGTCTTCGTAGTACCTTGAGGCCATTTCATGAACAAAAAGTTATTTACTATCATATAAATAGTAAACAGACAATTTAATTTCAGACGGAGCGAGTATAAAATTGTGGAATTAGAAAGTCAACTATATTAGTACCACATTTTTAAAGAATTGATTTATAGTTGCTCAGATAAAGGAGTATATGGATTTAATTCACCTGCGTTAGTAATTAACGGAATTCGACCAACATAAAAAATTATCATATTCCCAAATTAAATAAATATAAAGGTTAAATATGTTTTTGCTCCTTGTAATACTTTTTAAGTCATCATTATAAAAAATTTTATTTTGAAAATAATTCTTAAATGTAATTAAAACATCTAATTTGTTGAAAAATGAATTTATCTCGTACTCAACATCTTAATTTTGTATTTCTAATTACTTATGTCTCAATTCTCATGCCCTAAATTGTACGGAGTCTTTCATTCATTTACATCCTTAATTCCAAAATTTTGATTATATTTCTATATTATATTCACAAGAAATTTATAAATTGAATGTAATATGAACTAGAGCATAATTTAAGACATGTGGTATGTGTCGGAGGTCATTAAAATGCAAGATTATGAGTCTATGATGTTGAATCTCTTTGATTATTCAAATTCTCAAATTGGTCATGCTAGAATTGTGTTTTTGGTTTGTTACTCTTTTGAATGTCTTTGATTACAAGATTTTTTTAACTGGACATTTCAAAGATGTGATGACACGCGTAGGATAAATGAATCGTAATTAAAAAAATAACATTAAAATTATTCATTTTAAAGACACGTTTTTTATTTCAAACAAGAAAGATTTTATAGGAGTAGTTTTGTTGAGACTTGCAACTGACCTTGTGGTCGGTGGTCCACCAGTCGCTGACAAGGATAGTGAAATTGGCGGAAGGCTCCGCGTACGGAATGGGAATAACGGACCTGCGTCCTATGTTTAGGGCACCATACCCGCCGACTGCCCTTTGCAACTTAGTTGAGAGGAAATAAGTGCAAGTCCCAATCTGATCTTTCATCTGCATGTTATATGTCCAGTTTGTGTTTGGAAGAATGGGACAGTTTGTCCACGAGCTCCTCCTCTGTTTTATTCCGTTCCTGAATATATTTATATCGCATTATATATTATTACTAGAAATTTAATTAAGATATGTAAATTTAATTAACAACTCACCACGTGAAAAGTATAGGCTCGTCTAAATGATTGAACACATTAACGATAACGTTGTCATTAGTGACGACGTTAACTTCCGGTCCCGGAAATTGCCCATTTATCAGGATCCCCTGCGTGTCGCCGATCACTTGACAATTTATACTCGTATATAAATTGTATACGTAGAGTACAGTTCATGCTTCCTCCATCGCTAAAAATATGGGAGAATTTCATTTTTAAGAGATTTAAAGAAGTATATTTTGGTGTTGAGTTTTCAAAAATGTCAGTTCATGTGATGGGTAAAAATAGGATTTGATAAGTAGCTTAATAGGGATAAAAATGACTTTTAAACAGAAATGGGAAAAGTTTTTTGGGACGGATGAAAAAAGAAAGAAGAAAGATTTTCAGCTACGGATGAAGTATTTCATAATAATAATAATAATAATAATAATAATACTTTACTATTATTATTATTAATACTCCGTAAGTATAAGCTAGTAATTAGTATTTCTCTACTGTGCATAAATTATCTTCCTAGTTATTGTTACTACTTCTCGATAATTATGTTTGTTTGTATATTTTCATTAATTATTTAATAAGATAGAATATAATTGTCACATCTAATTTATAAAACAATTGACGTAGTTTTGAGCAATGTAATTTGTATTTTTATATGCCAATTAATAAATAAAGTAATTTTTTAAAAAAATGATTTTACACGTTCGAAATGATAAAGTAATGGATTTATGGACAGACAGTAATTACCGTTTGGTTGACGCCAAGAGGAGAAATAGTTCCATACTCCACAACCCAGTTATAAAACCTATATGGGTCTTCTGCTTTCATTGGCATTGGGGAAATAATAATAATAATAATGCCCATGCAACACAATAACAAAAGACCGTCCATTTTTTTACTGCTTCTCCACAAGTAGTTCCCTCTCATTTTTCTTTAACAAAAAAATCTTAAGGTAAATAATAATAATAATAATAATAATAATAATAGTCTTTAAATATATGAATAGAATAATTAAGAAAGGGACGATTTAATGCATTATTAAACTTGGGGGCCGGGAATATAATGATGATGAAAGAAGGTTGCAGATGGTGTTTATATATATTATAAGTATGGAAACTGGAAAACATAAATGTACGTATTTCATCCCCAGGTGAAACAGGTAATTTTTACTGTAAAATGTTTTACCCGTATTAATATATTTTGATCTTTTATTTGCGCCGCATTATTTATTTGTTTGTTAATTACAACGGGATAACTCTATATTGATTTGTGCATGCGTGTTTTCCTGCGTGCTATGAGCCTACACAAATGGCTTTATTTGAATATGATCCACACACATATTGTTTGTCCAATTTAGTTTTTTTTTGTGTATGATTTTAGATTAGTTATATTGTTTAATTAATTATTTATTAATTAATACGATCAACATCTCATTGTATTTGTTCAGTTTGATTTTTACGAGTCAAACTTGATAAATTTTAACCTTCAATTACTTTCAATTTATATTAAATATTAGTACATTGAGATAAAATTCTGAAAGATCTCAACTAGCTAGATCGATAAATTTAAAAAAAAACATTTTTATACTAATATACATCACAATTTTGTTTAAAAGAAACTCAAAGTTCACTCTATTCTGCTATATACCCATTCAAATATGCATGCAGGAGAAGTAGAGACATATATGGTAACTCGTGCAGTGCAACGTATCACCTACGGATATTGCGGCTTTACTTTCGCACTTCTCCGTAAACAACCCATCTTTTTCCTTTTTTTGTTCGTTAACGACTTAATTGGAGGGTATAGCAGTCTTTTGACTCAGTGCAACGTGGGTAGACATACGACTACTCATCTTTTGGGAAAAAGGTCATCTGTAATATATGATCATAGAGACAAGAGAAAAACTATGGTGACAATTTCTGACACTTGATGCAATCCTGTGTAGTAGAAAATTTCTACTTCCAAATTAATCACCCTTATGCTGAATCCCATTGCCTCATCACTCTCTTCCTTTGGCTCCTGCTGTTATTACCAAATGTAGAAAAACAGAATCAATTTTTTTTTTTGAAAAATTTTTTCCCCAACGAAGCACACCCTTAGAGAGAATTTTACAAGTAAAATTTTCCACTAAATACTTCTCATTTTGACTTTTTGTGGTTCTTAAGGAAAGTTGACAAAAGGTGAAAGTTTACCATAATACCCTTAATGAAAATGGGTGGAGTGTATTAAATGAGGTAGGTTTGATATTTTAATTGTTAAAAAAGGTAATGAGAAGATCTATGGTAGACAAATAAAAAGGGCAAATGGAAAGATTTATGGGAGACAGAGGGAGTACTAAAACATATGTCATTTTTCAATGTATTTAAATTTTTTTATTCACTAAATAGTACGGAGTACTTGATTAATTGTCTAGTGACAGGAACAATTAGTTTGAACAATTAATTGGACATCTAGTTTCGTTTGAACAATGTCCAGTGATAGTGGACATTCATTTGAACAATGACCAGTAGACAGTGAACATTGATATTGAATTAGAAAATAAAAACATATGATACTACATTGAAAAAATCATTATGTTTTAATAGGTAAATTCCCCATTTTGCAAAATATGCATCGAGTAGTTATGTGGTTGTTATAGGTAAAATGTTGTTTTAAAGATAAAAATTACATAAACCCCACAAATATGGTGAATTGTTGTAATAGAAGAAGCTGAATCTATATATATAAAAAAAACTTAGTACTCGTAAGAGAGTGGGGGGCACCATTCACCATGCTCTCCATGTAGCAGGCTTACCTAATAAACATAGTGTGTGCCACTACAAACATTTCAGGGTGCGTGGGTTTCATATTAAGCACTACAAACTTATAATTTCCCAGGTATCAATTCTTCAATGATCCCAAAAAATTAAGTTGGTTTTTAAAATTACTATCTGAGATATTCAAAGTACATGAGAAATATTATATCCAGGCACCAGAATGAAATGAATGGTCACCCAAAAAACAAACCACCATCACTCGTTCTTCTAATGTCGATGCCCAACAGCTCTCCCACAAAGTAGAGCATTAGAAGGTATATCATATTCGTTCGCGAAATTCTGAACCGAGTTGTACACCCTTAGATACAGCTGCTGCCCAAGGTAACGCCTATCCCATATTGCAGACCTCAAATTCCACATTCCTTGGTTGTCCAACGACACCAGTATTGCACTCCATGATCCTGGATAAACCTTGTGAAAATACAAATTGTGTAAGACCTCGGGTTGCCTTCTAAAAGACTAGTTTGTGCAGGTGGCAATGGTTAGTTTTCTGAGGTGGGTTTGTGCTCGAATTACCTGCGTTGTGTGTCTTGTAAGAGCATCAACAAGATTGTAGCTCTTTCTACTAGCGTCGGTCCATTTTCCCGAGCCAAATCTGTGGATGGTTGGGAACTGGAAGATTATTTACCGTATACGGAGTGTTCATTACTTGCTCCATTCCTAAATAACTGTCTACGGTGATTTTTAGATACATTAGATTTTGAATGAATGTGGACAAACATTATGTCTACATTCATTTGATTCTTAATGTATCTAGAAAGTTATAATAGATAGTTATTTAGGGCAGAGGGAGTATTCGCTTATTGTTCTATTTCATGTGATGTAATAAGATGCTGAGTTACTTACCCTACGACCCAGAAATCATAGCCATCCAGGTGCCAAGACTGCAGGGTGTTCTCGTCATTTTGGAATACGATTTCAACAAACTGATGAAGAGAAGTTGGAAGCACAGACGTAGCAAGGGTGGCACCGGCAGAAGGAGAACTCTTGATGCCATTGAGATTAAAGACTCCGGGGATGTTGAAGTAATCAGCAAGCTTGAGAGGGGTGTCTGGATCTATGTAAGACACTCCATTGACAGCATATCTCTGCTTCCCACCAATTACTGGCGCTGAATTGGCCAGCAAAATCGTTGTTGAAGGAGTAATAGTTCCATAGTGGAATGAACCCTGAGGGTTGGGCCTCGCACCATTCGCTGTCAAGTTCCACCTTCAATAGAAACATTCACATATATGTAAGATTTGACAGCATTTTCCTTTTTTTTTTAAAGATCAATAGATTCAAGCAAAAATGGCCTAAGAAAAGGGCACTTCAAGGCAATTTGGTGAATGATGGGTACCTAAACGATCTTGCTTGGGCCAAAGACCATTGCACTTCGCCAGCCGGGGCATCTGGCATTGATCCAGAAACAGCTGAGCGAGAGTTTGTGTAGTGCAGCACAGAAACTGAGTTAAGAACCCGTTGAGTGAACCGTGTCGACGCAATGACGAAATAGTCCTTGGGTGGCTGATCCAAAGTGACAAGAACAGAAAGAGATTGCCCGACGTGCACATCAAGAGCATCATAAAAGTTCTGGACAACGTGGGACCCTTCAACCTCAACTAGCTTCATTTTGTGGCCTTGAATTCTAAAGTTTATGGATGTTGACAGCCCCACATTCGAGATTCTGAACATGTAAGTCTTGCCTGAAAAGTAAGTGAGACAGTTAAACATCTTTCACTTGAGGGAGGAAAAAAAAATACTGAGGTGTTATCATTCTCAGGGTAAACCTTGATTTACGCTGAAGGTAGACCGACTCTTCCCGTTTATAAGTAGGCCATCAGGGAAGGGCAGAGATTTTCCTGAATCCAAAATTTGTTGCAGTTCCTGTTCAGTGCCAAACAATGAAGTATTTCAATGTCTAAGCTCTTATACGCTGTTGGGCTTATTTCAACATCCCATTCAACTAGAGAGAAACACTCTATGCCAAATGACTGAATCAAACTATACTAAAAGATTGAATCTAATTGGTTAGTTAGTATAATCCAATGTTTCTTGAACTTCTCTTTCAAACATATTGATGTGGGACTCTTAACAACAAAGAATGCTTTCTTGGTTATTGTATGAAGTCATGTTCTTATACAAACCTTGTGACTAGTCTTGTGCCAATCACCAATAAGTAAACTGAAATCTCCATCGGGCTTTGCATAAGGAACCGGAATGACTGATCTGGCGAGAACATTGAGTGCTCCGAAACCACCTGCGGCTTTGTGCATTAAAGTTGATGGGAAGTATGTGTAGCTACCAATCTGATCTTTAGTTT